TACATACATATACAAAACATACACATAGATACATGCATGTGTATTTTTAGCACACTGTCTCATTTTTTAATATTTCCTTGTATTGAAAAGCATGAGTTTATTCTAGTACCCCCATATCCAATCTAATACCACGGGGTTTATTCTAGTTTCTTGCTTTCCAGGTGGATAACTCTGTTTCCCAACAGTGACAGTCTTAGATCCCAGTGTCTCTAATATGTTTACTTCCTTGATTATTCACCCTATGTGGAACGAGACTCCTCTTGTTGACCTTCCTGCTCAGATGCCCGTTGCCTCACTCAGCTGCTGTCGTCCTGCACCTCCACCCACCGTGAACATCTTCCTCACTCCACTTGGGCTCTGATACCCTAGCTGTGTAGATATTCTCTTATGTGGAAGCCCATATCCCCAGGTTATAAAGAAAAAAAAAGTCCAAGTCCTATACGCTCTGTTTTTGCAGCTTTATCACTTTCGTTTAATGTACAGTAGTCTGCACTTTTTCCAGAGACTGGTACACGAGCCGTTGGATTATTGTTGGTGACAGCGCCTTACTGTGTGGTGTCCACGTCCCACTTAGTATTACTGCCTTCTTGCTCATGCACACTCGTGTTCTTCCCAGTTCTTTGCCTGTAGCATGCTGTCGTGAGCCTCACCTATTACACCTATGGTTCTGTATTCTTTTGCAGGCTCTTCTGGAGAGTAGCATTTTTGAAGTGTGATTGCTGAATTAGATTGTGTATTTCTATTTTTTGTTATGTGTTTCTAAATTGCCTTCTAATTTTATACTTTATCAATGGTTGAGTAGTCTTTTTTCCCCCTTACCATTATAAAAACTGAATGATCACTTTTGTTCATCTTTGCAGATCTCACAAAGGCTGCATGAAGATAAACATCTATTCGTGTATTTGTGGGCAATTTTGTACTAATTTTCTGATTTGTGTGTTCATGTGTCCTAACCTATTCAGATGTTTTCCAAACATTGAAAAACTATTTGTATCTTGACTTCTATATTAGTGTTCTATAAAATTCTTATGCTCTGATAGGGTCAAATAAATCAGTATCTTCCTCAGTGGTTTTTACAGTGTATATTGTTGGAGGCTTTTTGCACCCCCAAATCACAGGTTTTCCTCCTTAATCTTCCAGCTCTTCAAGGTTTGATTGTTTACATCCAGATCTCCAATTCATCTGAAATTTATTTTGGAGTATGTTGTGAGGTAGGGATCAAACTTTATATGTTTTCAAAATGGATAGCAAATTGGCCCCATTCCTTGCTGATTTGAAATGGCCCTTGTATCAAATAATAAACTCATAAGTACACGAGTCTTTTTCATGCATCAAGTGCCTCTTCCTCAGCCAGTAACACCAAGTGCTGATTACCGTTGCTTTGTAGTATGCTTTGCTAATTTTAGTTGAATTCCACTTTTTTTTTTTTTTTGCAAAATTTCCTATCTTGGTTTTATTTTTAGGTGAATTTGAGAATCCTTGTTACAGTTAAAAAAACAAAACAAAAAAAAAAACCTACTGGAATTTTGTGTTAGTTTCCCAGGGCCGCCGTAACAAATTACCACACATTTGGTGGCTTACAACAGGAATGCATTCTCTCACAGTTCCGGAGACTGGAAATCTGAAATCTGGCAGGGCCACACTCCCCCTGGGGGGTAGGAGAGAGATTGTTCTTTGCTTCTTCCGTCTTCCAGCTCCTGTCCCACAGTCCTTGGCTTGCAGCTGCATAGTTCCCACCCCTGCCTTCCTCTTCACGAGGCTTTCTCTTCTGTCATGGATGGCATTTAGAACCCACCCAGATAATCCAGGATCATCTCCTCAGCTTAGTATCTTTCACTTAATCTCATCTGAAAAGATCCCTTTTCCAAGTAAAGTAAAACTTACAAATTTCCAGGGTTGGGACTCCCTGTCTTTGGGTGGCCATTTTTCAGCCTATCACAGATGTTATTTGGAGTTTGATTGGGGGTGTAGATGAACTTGGAATAGAACAGACATCTTTTGTGATGACTCTCCTGGCTAAGTCTTGGCATCATCTCCATGATTCAGGCTTCTCATGTGTATGTGTGTTGTGAAATTTTTGTTTTGCCAACTTGCCAAGCTTGCCTTCACTGTTACTAGGGCTTCGTTATAGTAGAGGGATTTTCTAAACAGGTCATCTGCAGACAGTGGTATTTGTCTCCTTGCTTAATTCTGTCTCTTCAGATGGCCTGTTGGACAGTCTTGGACAGTAGTAACATCTTGGTCATTCTGTTACATATTTTAATACTATAATCTTTTTAGTAAATACATGTTACTTTGAGGAAATATTGTTCATATAGCCATTTGCTGATGTTAAACTCCATAGTAAGTAAATAATGTGTGCTGAATTTCATCAGATTTTTGGGCATTTTTGAAATGGTCGTCAGTCAGCCATGTGTATGTATATTTATATTTGTACTTTTTTTATTTTGGAGACGGTTTCGCTGTGTCACCCAGGCTGGAGTGCAGTGGTGCAATCTCGGCTCACTGCAGCCTCCACCTCCCGGATTCAAGCGATTCTCCTGCCTCAGCCTCCAGAGTAGCTGGGATCACAGGTGCCCACCACCATGCCTAGCTAATTTTTAGTATTTTTAGTAGAGACGGGGTTTCACCATGTTGGCCAGGCTGGTCTTGAACTCCTGACTTCAGGTGATCCACCTGCCTTGACCTCCCAAAGTGCTGGGATTACAGGTGTAAGCCACCGTGTCTAGCCTACTTGTCCTCCTTTTAGCCATAAGTATATATTTTCTGATTTTAAAAATGTATCCTTAGAACAGACCATTCTTAGTCATGAAGTCTGGTTCTCTAAATTTAGTGATCAATTTATTAGGCTAGTGTTTTGTTTAAAAATTTACAGATTTTCCAGCTTGGGCAATATAACAAGACCTGTCTCACGGAGAAAAAATTAGTTGGGCGTGGTGGTGCGCACCTGTAGCTGCAGCGCCTTGGGAGTCTGAGGCGGAAAGGATTCTTGAGCCCAGGAGTTCAAGGCTACGTTGAGCTGTCTTGCACCACGGTACTCCAGCCTGGGCGACAGAGCGAGACTCTGTCTCAAATAAATAAATAATAAAATAAAATAGAAATTTACATGTTTGTAAAATACTCTGTAATTATTAGTCTCTGCAACATCTACTCGTTGTTTTGGGAAGACAAAACAATGCTGATTTTCCTTTGGGGAACCACTCTTCCTACCATGTATAGCCTTGTGTTTTAGACAGAATGGCTCAGCTGCGTGGGTGGACCTGGGTTGGCTGTGGCTAACAGGCATAACACATGCCCTTGGTCCCCTGATTATAGTTGTTGATCCCTAATGGGATCAGAACCCAATTAATGCCAGTGAGATACAAAAATAATTCGTGGGGACCTGTGAGACAAAGAAGCTCTCATTTCCTTGGGAGCCACCAGAAGATACAGTTACTGCCACTTATAACACTTCTTATTTCAAAACCCGGCAAAGATAAGGTCGTATCATTGTCATCTCGGGTGTGTTTTCTTTTGTCAGACTAGAGAGAGTTAATTGCTCTTCAGTTGCTTTTTTCAAAGAAACTGATTTTGGTTTTGATTGATTAAGTAGCTATGTTTCTGTTTCTGTTTTTTGGTTTTTGGTTTTTTTTTTGAGGTGGGGTCTCGCACTGTCACCCAGGCTGGAGTGCAGTGGTACAATCACGGCTCGCTGCAGGCTCAACCTCCTGGGCTCAGGCGATCTTCCTGCCCCAGCCTCCCAAGTGGCTGGGGACTACAGGCACGTGCCACCACGCCAGGCTAATGTTTTGTATTTTTGGTAGAGATGAGGTTTCGCTATGTTGTCCAGGCTGGTCTTGAACTCCTGGACTCAGCGATCTGCCTGCCTCAGCCTCCCAAAGTGCTGGGATTACAGGTGTGAGTCACTGCACTTGGCCTGTTTTGTTTTGTTTTAATTTTTTTTGAGGTAGGGTCTTACTTTGTCACCTAGGCTGGAGTTCAGTGGTGCAAGCACGGCTCACCGTAGGCTCAACCTCCTGGGCTCAGGCGATCTTCCTGCCCCAGCCTTCCAAGTAGCTGGGACTGTAGGCATGTGCCACCCAGGCTGGGAGTGCAGTGGTGTGACCATAACTCACTCACTGCAACCTTAAACTCCTGGGCTCAAGGGATCCTCCTGCCTCCGCCTCTCAGTAGCTGGGACTACAGGTGCGTGCCATCGTGCATGGCTTTTCTTTTTTTTTTTAATTTTTTTTTTGGAGATGGGATCTTGCTTTGTTGTCCAAGCTGGTCTCAAACTTCTGGGCTTAAGTGATCCCAAAGTGCTGAGATTGTAGGTTTGAGACACTGCACCTGGTCTTATATTTCATCAGTTCTTTTATTTATTCCTTCTACTGGTTTTCACTTTGCATCTTGACTTGAATGCTTAGTTCATTCATCTTCATTAATACAGCTTACAAGTTTGATTCACCCTCTGAGTGTAGCTTCAGCAGCGCTTTGTAGTGGTGCTCTTTGCTCTTTTCCTTTTCTTTTCTTTTTGAGACAGAGTCTCACTTTGTCATCCAGGCTAAGTGCAGTGGGGCAGCTCACTGCAGCCCTAACCTCGCCACACTCACGTGATCTTCCTGCCTCAGCCTCCTTAGTAACTGCAGCCACAGGTGTACACCACCACACCTGGCTAATTTTTTGTTTCCTATTTTTATTTTTGGACAGGTAGTCTCACTATATTGCCCAGGTTTCTTTTCCTTTTTTAAACCTTGTTAGGAAAACTTTGAAACATACCACAAAATAAAAGAGAATAGAAGAGAATCATATGCCTGTCACCCAGCTTTCATAGTTGTCAGCATTTTACCATAGCCCTGCCCACTCCCAATAGTTTGTATTTTTCATTTGAGTATTTTAAAGCAAATCTCAGATTTTTAGTCACTTCTAAATACTTCAGCATGTATTTTTTAGGAAATGTGGGCTTTAAAAAACATAACCACAATACCTTTATCATACCTAACAGCATCAACCACACTCCATTAATATTATCTAATATTTATTTTGTGTTCGGTTTTCTCCAAATGTCATATAAAGCCCTTTTACAGTTTGTTTGCTTGAATTGAAATCCAAAGAAGGTCTCCACATTGCATTTGGTTTAAGCCTCTTAGCTCTTTGAAAATCTATAACTTGCAGATTCTTTTCCTTTTTTTTTGTTTTTGTTTTTAATGCCATTTATTTGTGAAGGCAGTAGGGTCATTTGTGCTGTGGAATGTCCCAAGTTTGGGATTTGGTTGACTGTGTTGTAGCACTGTCTAATGTGTTCTAATCCTCGTATTTCCTGTAGCTGGGTCAGGGTGCTTCATTGGTTTCAGGTTGGTGGTGGTTTTGGCGGGGGCGGGGCGGGTTTCAAGGATATTCCCTAGACAGTGCTTTGTGTTGCACATTGAGCAACCAGGTCACACGATGTCGGGTGCAGTGTCAGTAGGTTGAATTATAGAGTTCTTTATCAACCAGTTCTCTACTGGGTTTAACGGCCATTTGCTTGTTGCTTGTACCCGTTATTTAGTTGGTGTATTAGTTTCCTATTGCTGCTGTACCAAATTGCAACACTAGCTGAAATCAGTCTCACTGGTCTAGAGTCTGGGTAGCTGGTGCCATCAGGGAGCTCTGGAGAGTATCTGCTTCCTGGCCTTTTCCAGCTCATGGCAGCCATTTTTTGGCTGTGGCCCCTTCCTCCATCATTGGAGCACATGATCCAAAGGACACTGGGGATTGTGGTTAGGTCCCACCCATATAATCCAAAGTGATCTCCAGTCTCAGGATTCTTAATTCGTCTGTAACATATCCAAATCCAGAAATTAGGACTTGAATGTCTTTGGAGGCCATTGTTCAGCCTACAACTGACAACTACAAAGTGAAGATTTTTCTAATTCTATTCTTACGTAAAGAAGATTTCCCATATCAGTTTTGGAGGTTCTGAAATGTGGTTCCTGCTGGGGAGAAAGGAGAAATGAATGATTTTTTTCCTTTATAGTGTTTAGGATGCACTGAAACTATTAGCTTCCAAAGTTGAAGTTCATTTTTGAAGCGTTTCCCCCAGTATTAGAAACCTGTGGATGTGGATGTGATCGTGCTTCAACCCGTGGAAGCCGTATTTTGGTGCTCCTGTTGTTCTACCCAAGTTGGCTTGTGTCATGTTTGGGTGTGACCGCTTGCTCTGTGACTGCTCCCTTCCTGCCTGTCACAGGAGGGTGTTGCACCTCATCCGTGTTCTGCTTGGACCTAGAGTCAGTCATGTTTCTAAGGAACCCCAGTCTCTGCCGTGAGATGGTGTTTAGATATATCAGTCAGTTCAATGTGTATCATTTTCTTACACTAAAATCTTGGTTCTTAATGATGTTAACTTGCTTACCTATTCTAAATTTTGTGACTCTGCTTTTCACTGATTTGTAGTAGCCAATGAAGCTTAAGCATCTTTGATTTCCTTTCTAGATGGAGGTATCTTTGAAAAGTAAAGAGCCTCATATAATACAGAGCTTCCCCCTCCTGCAGATAACTCTCACAAACATTCAGCATGTGTCTGTCCACAGTTTCCTGTTAAAACACACTTTTGGGAGTATGTAGCGTATGAGTAAGTGCCATTTTCATGGCACGTATTTTTCATACAATATATTCTTAAAATACTAACATTAGGATATATCCCATTTGGATTATATTGTCAAATTATTGTGTTTTAAAGTTGCATAATTCTCTGATGCTTAGGCCACCGATGTGACATTGTTAGATACATTTGTTTCCATTTTCTAAGTAAACTTTTTATGGAAGTTTAATAAACATGCACTTTTTAATGTATATAGCTCAGTGAATTTTCACTAACTGAACTCACTCATATAGCCAGCATTGAGATAAAGAAGTGGAATGTTTTATTTGTAGAGTTGAGAGTCTCTGATTATTTTTTGTTGTTTTTTTGAGACGGAGTTTTGCTCTTGTTGCCCAGGCTGGAGTGCAATGGCGCGTCTTGGCTCACCGAAACCTCTGCCTCTGGCATTCAAGCAGTTCTCCTGCCTCAGCCTCCCAAGTAGATGGGATTACAGGTGTGCGCCGCCACGCCCGGCTAATTTTGTATTTGTAGTAGAGACGGGGTTTCTCCATGTTGGTCAGGCTGGTCTTGAACTCCTGACCTCAGGTGATCTGCCCACCTCGGCCTCTCATGGTGCTGGGATTACATGTGTGAGCCACTGCGCCCAGCCTCTTCTCAGATTTTTATGGTTCTAAAACCGAGCTGTCACTCTTGTTCTGTTCAGATGAGCTTGACTTCCATCCCTGTCCCCTGTTCCTTCTTTCCTTCCCCCATCATTTTCTTCTCTTGTTTCTTTCTGAAAATATAAACAGACATACAAATACACATTTGTATTTCTGAGTCTTTCTTACAGAAAGGTAGCATACCCTGCACCTGCTGGCCTCCATTGCTCTTTTCATTAACTGTGTACCCCGAAGACTGTGCATAGTAGTGTATGAAAGCTTTCCTCCTACCTTTTATGCTATGTGTTGCTTCACGGCGTGGACACAGCATGGTTTCTTCAGCCTGTCTGCTTATTGACGTTGTGTTACTTTCCATATATATATATTTTTTTTAGCTTTTTATGTCTCACTATCTCTGCTGTTGCCCTTCTGAAATCCATTCATCACACACTTGCAGTAGCTGGAGTTTCCTTTTTATCTAATTCCTGAGTTTCCCACCACCATACTTACCCCATGTTGATGCCTAATGTCTGCTTGAGGTTTCCTTTAGAGGGCACTCCCCACCTTTGGTGCCAGCCATTCTGCCATTCTGATCCTACTTCCTCCCCTCCTTACTGATCTTCCTTCTGCCATCCTGGCTTCCTGTTCTATCTTCCTGGTGTGATGCTTGTTTTCTAATAGTAGGGAATAGTGTTTTCTTGTTCTGCCCAGTTTTCTCTCTTTATAGATGAGACATCGAAGTTCCTGCTCCCCGGGTGTATGTCAGTTTTTCTCTTCTATGGTCGTGTTCTGATCTGAGGCTGGTATCTCAGTTGTCTAACTTGACATAGAGGAACATACCTGTGCTTTGGTGGGGATGTTGTGCTTGTGTTCGTGCAGTTTAATGTTGAATTAGCTCTTTGCGGAGACAGTTATATAAGTAAGAGTTTCCGGGGATTCTTTAAATCCAAAAGTGAGGCTTAATCTGAAGAGTAGACTGATAGGAAGAGAGTACTTGGAGACATGATACAGTCCCACCTTCTCCTGAGACAAACGAGGAAGCAGGCCAAGTGAAGAGGGTGATGTGCCAAGCAGTGTCAGCAAGCACATCACACATTGGAGTGCCACGTGCTCTCCACCTCGAGAGGAGAAAATCTGAAGACTTGGGTTTTCCTGATGTTTGTTTTCTTGTTTGTAGAAAAGTATTGTTTCTATTTGGACAGGACTGAGCCCAAGATTAATCTTTCAGATTCTTAAGTATTTCCACCCATGGCATTAGCTAGCTTTGTATCCGTAACAGAGTTCTTTATAAACATGAGCTAAGCTAATTCTAGCTCATAGAACTTTTCTGTGTAAATTGTAGGAAGGAAAAAATCATCAAGTATAAATTGTTGCCCTAGGTCAAACTTCAGATTATTTTGTTTCTTGTAATTTAATGAGATTTATAGTGAGGAGATGGAAGGGATTTTTAAATTGCAGGACTAAGGGGGAATGGCCCTTCCTACAGCCATTCTGTTCCCATCCAGTATGTGTGTGCAGGAGCTGCCATGAAACACCTTTCAGCGGCTCAGGGTGGCAGACTAGTGTTACTGTGGCAGTTACAGACATCAGTAAACCCATGGGTCATACGGATGCATTTCCACCTAGAAGCAGTGGTTTGCTTCTTTAGTGAGTCAAAGAAACTTAAGATGGAGGAGACCCTAAGGAGTCTTGTAAGTTACATGATCACCCAGTGGAGAGTACACTTCGCAGTGGGAATAAGCTCTGCCCATTTTTTCCTAGGTGCTAATTCAGGAAAGCATGCTCACTCTTAGTGATCCTTTTCTTCATGATGAGATGAAATGTGTCTTCAGAATTGTTCTTAGTTGTTTTTGGTTGTGCAGGCAACTGGACAGAACTCAGCCCCCCTTTAACTGCTCTCCACATGGTAAAGACAGCTCTTAGGTATCGTTTTCTCAGTTTCCAAGGGCTTGAATAGGTTCATGTGAAGTCATCACCACTCCCTCACAAGGAAATTAACAAAAACAATTAATTCAGACTTCTTGCAGATAACATGGCAATTGTAATAAGAATAACACAGCAGAGAAAATAAATTTTATGACTCTGTTTTTCACTGATGTATAGTACCTGGTGATCCTTAAGCGTCTTTTTTTTTCCCTCTGCAGGTGGAGGTATCTTTGTGGAAAAGTAAAGAGCCTCATACAATACAGAGCTTTCCCCTTCGGCTGATAACTCTTACAAACACTTAGCATATGTCGGTCCGTAGTTTCCTATTAAAACACACTTTGGGGGTATGTGGTGTATGAATACGAATTTGTGTTCTTCCCTCCTGTCTTCACAGTCTGCAGCTTCACAGCAGAATTGTCCTTTACCCAGCTGTTCATGTTGATGCTTGTTCAGGATTGGGCTCTGGACTTCCTGTCCTTTTGCTGTTCTCAATGACTTGAGTTTCCTTCTAGAGAGGTCTTATGCACATACAAACATGTGTCTCTCTTTTTTTTTTTTTTTTGAGACGGAGTCGCGCTCTGTCGCCCAGGCTGGAGCACAGTGGCCGGATCTCAGCTCACTGCAAGCTCCGCCTCCGGGGTTTACGCCATTCTCCTGCCTCAGCCTCCAGAATTACTGGGACTACAGGTGCCCGCCACCTCGCCCGGGTAGTTTTTTGTATTTTTTAGTGGAGACGGGGTTTCACCGTGTTAGCCAGGATAGTCTTGATCTCCTGACCCCGTGATCCTTCCGTCTCGGCCTCCCAAAGTGCTGGGATTACAGGCTTGAGCCACCGCGCCTGGCCCAAACATGTATATCTCTTTAACACGACTGGTTACATATCAATGTAATACATAGCTGCAGGCAAGGTACAGTGGCTCACGCCTGTTATCCTAGCACTTTGGGAGGCCAAGGCAGGCAGATCACCGAGGCCAGGAGTTCAACACCAACCTGGCCAACGTGGTAAAAACCTGTCTCTACAAAAAAAAAAGTACAAAAATTAGCCAGGTGTAGTGGCACACACCCATAGTCCAGCCACTCGGGAGACTGAGGTGGGAGAAGTGCTTGAACCTGGGAGGCAGAGGTTGCAGTGAGCCGAGATTATGCCACTGCACTCCCATCTGGGCAACAGAGTAAGACCCTGTCTCAAAAAAAAAAAAAAAAAAATGTAGACTGGGCGCAGCGGCTCACTCCTGTAATTCCAGCACTTTGGGAGACAGAGGCAGGCAGATCACGGTGTCAGGAGTTTGAGACCAGCCTGGCCAACATGGTGAAACCCTGTTTCTACTGAAAATACAAAAATTAGCCGGGAGTGGTGGCACGTGCCTGTAATCCCAGCTACTCAGGAGGCTGAGTCAAGAGAATCACTTGAACCCAGGAGGCAGAGGTTTCAATGAGCCGAGATCGTGCCACTGTACTCCAGCCTGGCCGATAGAGTTGAGACTCCATTTCAAAAAAAAAAAAAAAAAAACACAACACAAAACTGCCTCTTACTGTTCACTGACACTGGGTACATGGTTAAAGCCCTCTTAACTGACCTGTTTTGAGGCACAGAGGTTTATTTAATCACCAATCATTTGATGTAGAGCTAAGACCTCCGGTTTGAAATGGGGCTGGTTGGATTCTACGTATTTTCCTTTTTTTTTTTTTTTTTGGAAACAGGGTCTTGCTGTGTTGTCCAGGCTGGAGTGCAGTGGTGCCATCATGCCTCACTGCAGCCTCAACCTCTGGGGCTCAAGTGATCCTCCCACCTCAGCATCCACACTGAGTAACTGGGACTACAGGTGCATACTACCATGCCTGGCTAATTTTTATTTTTATTTATTTACTTATTTATTTGGTAGAGTCAGAGTTTCGCCATTGTGAACCCAGGAAATCTGACAAGTCTCAGTTAATTTAGAAAGCTTATTTTGCCAAGGTTGAGGACGCGTACCCGTGACCCAGGCTCAGGAGGTCCTGATGACGTGCGCCCAAGGTGGTGAGAGCACGGTTTGGCTTTATACATCGTAGGGAGACATGAGACATCAGTCAGCATATGCAGGATGAACATTGGTTCGGTCTGGAAAGGCGGGGCAACTCGAAGCAAGGGCAGGAAGACTCCAAATGGGGAGGTGGCTTCCAGGTCATAGGTAGGTAAGAGACAAATGGTTGCATTCTTTGGAGTTTCTGATGAGCCTCTCCAAAGGAGGCAGTCAGATATGCACTGATCTCAGTGAGCAGAGGGGAGACTGTGAAGAGAATGGGAGGCAGGTTGGCCCTAAGCAGTTCCCAGCTTGACTTTTCCTTTAGCTTAGTGATTTGGGGGCCCCAAGATTTATTTTCCTTTCAGACCGCGTTGCCTAGGTTGGTCTTGAACTCCTGGGCTCAAGCAATCTGCCCACCTCAGCCTTCCAAAGTGCTGGGATTACAGGCATGAGCCACCATGCCTGGCCACGTACTCTCTTCTTACGTAAATGAAATTGATAATATGTCATCTAGAATTTTCAGCATTCATTTGTTTTAAGTAGAACAAAAATTTAAGAAACTCATAATCAATGTAGGATTCTCTGAGATTTTAAAGGTTTTCCCCCAATTGACTTTTTCTTTTAGACCAACAGGTCTTGCTCTTTTTCCCAGGCTGGAGTGCTGTGGCAGGATCGTAACTCCCTGCAGCTTCAAACTGGGTTCACATGATCCTTCTGCCTCAGTCTCCTGAGTAACTAGGATTACAGGCACAGGCTAATTGTTTTTATTTATTTATTTATTTTTTAAGAAATGAGGTCTCACTTTGTTGCCCAGGCTGGTCTCAAACTTCTGGCCTCAAGTGATCCCTCTGCCTTGGCCTCCCAAAGTGGTGGGATTATAGGCGTGAGCCACCGTGTCCAGCCATAATTTTTTTAAGGCAACTTGTTTTTCTTGAAGTTTCAGTGTGATAAATTTAATATTCATAGATACCTTTCACTCTTTCATTATTTTGAATTATTTCTAAATATAGTTACATTAACTAGTGAAACTGGCATAAACAGGTTTGAGAGCAGGTGAAACTAAGTCTTACTAAGCATACATCATCACTGGTGGGGATCGGTGTTCAGGGCACACTAGAAGGCACCCTGCTCATGGCATCAATTAATATTTTACTGTGGGGGTGGAGATTTGGTCATCCATCAGGTCATTTATGGAGGTCAGTGAT